TATCCTTACAAATGTCCTGACTTCCATCTCCGAAAGATTTTGCCCCAATTTTGAGCAAATAACCATTTCGGGGCGACCGCCATTACGGTGGCTTGCATACCAAATTAGCTAACTTGACAAAATTCTCCCGAGGGGGGATATGACGAAAAGAGCTGAAAAATAGCCTGTAATTGGCTAATGATGAGATCGTCCCACTGTCCAAATTTGGTGAGAATCGAAAGGAACGACAATTTTCTGTCACGTTTTCAATCTACGGTCGGGATAGAGTTAAGTGTTCGTATCTTCATGCCCATGCATATCCCGAAGAAAGTTCCAAATTAAGACCATTACGTCATGGGAGACAACAGCTACGACTGATGGTGCAATAATAGAGTATACAAAAGCAAAAACCGACACAACGTAGAATGATTTTTTGAAGGTGTACTATATTTCGGGTGGCCAAACCAGCCTTCTTCAGGTATCTTAAGAAGGCTGGTTTGGCCAGCCGAAATATAGTACACCTTCAAAAAATTATTCTACGTTGTGTCGGTTTTTGCTTTTGTATTCTTTATTTTATATGTAAAGCCGATTAGATCACTATTGATCCAACGTATACCAGCAGGATCATCGTTCCGGTTGCTTGCTTAAACATTTTATAGCAATAATAGAGTTTGTGTTGATCAAGTGATGTGATGTCTACAGCAAGAAAAGATGCATTGCAACTGTAGCGCTACCTAAACAGTTAAATTTTAAAAGCGCGGTTATAAGATCTAACAGATCTTCTTGTTTTTTGTCGGTGACCAGGCTCAAGCTCCCTCTCGGCCCAATTTTGGGTCACACAACGTGTGATGTTGATTCGCCAAAAGCTGTTGAAACATTAATACAAGGACAATGTTACGGATATTGTTTTCTTTGTGTTGAGTAAAATATATATATGTTCGTTTTATCGAAGCGTTGGATTCAAAGGGAATAATAAATACGCTAAAAGGTATTACGTCAGCCATGGAATGCGTTGACGTTGCAGCTTTCACTTTCGCTACATGACAAATAGAGTCTATCTTTTTGTCGACGGTCGAGGGTCCCATGTCGAGGGTCGAGGGTTGAGGGTAATTTTTTTTTTCTGATTTTTTTTTCACATGTCACAAATCGTCGGAGTCGTGAATCGAAGGCTTGTCAACCCTACTTTACATGACCATTCAGTGCATTAACGTGTATTTGCTTTGTCATAACACCAAACCTAATTTGGTAAAATGCTGGCGTGACTTCCTGTCACACGATCAGTCGAACTTTTAAATACATTTTCTGAAATACATACCATGACTACTAGCTATTACAAACGAAGAGCCCGGTGGAGGAAACGTTTAAAAAGAGTCTTACCGTCGCTTGCAACTGCCGGTCAATGAAAATTCAAAGTTTTGACAATCAAACTTCAAAGTTTACCCACCCACTTGGAACGTTTTAGCGCCACTCCGCAAACACTTGAAGAGAAGCAAAGTCAGCAACGCGTACGAGGATTTTGTCTTTTGCAGTTTTGAAAATCAGAATGGCTGATAGGAAATCAAGAGAGGAATTTCTGTCGGATATCGACTGTAATCTTTTACAATATCCAGAGGAATATAGGAAGAAAGAATTCACCTCAACATTGTCTGCACGGCAGCATTAAAAACGGCCACCGCGAAAATAGAACTGGATTTGAACTGGCTTTCTTACGAGTAAAAATAGTTCTTTGAATAAACACGTGGGGAAATTTTCGGCTATTCATTTCGTCATGAATATGCTCAATATGTTTTAAATTCCTCTACTAATTTCCTGTCATTCGTTCTGACTAGGTATAAAATACTAGGTGGAGGATTGTATTCACCAAGTTTGAAGGACGCATGTAGCTTACTTAGAAGACGCTCTGTTAATTTTTCTAATTTTCCATACATTTGTCGATACGTATTTTTTTTTCCCGCGAACCGCGTCCACCCAGCCAAATTTACAGACAAATATATGGAAAATTAGAAAAATAAACTGAGCGTCTTCTAGCCAAGCTACATCCCTTAAACGTGGTGAATACAATCCTCTACCTGACATTTTAACGTTACGATTCACAAATTGTATTTCCACTCCACTGGCCAAATTTGATGTAGAAATAACTAATTTTCCTTAATTTATCAGCAATCACATCCTGAAAACAGAGCGAAAAACCATCGAAACCGAAATTTTTTAGATTACTTTTTTTAATCTAATTAAAAATCTCGCATTCCCGTTACCATGGCGACAGCCAGTGGAATATTAACTCAGATCGAGCTACGCGTCCTTTCGAAAGGTATGTTTACTCAACGAAACAAAGCTTTTTTCCAAACTTCCTGAGCTCTACGATCCCAAAAACGATTCAAGACACATAATTCAAGAATTATTCGAGATTGCAAACAGAAAAACGGCGGTCCGAAGGGAATTTAGTCGCACTTAAACAAGATGCGTGGATTTGAGTAGCACATGGCGAAGGTCATGCAAGCTCACTTACCCAAAATTTTCGCTTCTAATTTCTTTCTAACCGTAAAATTACATTCGTATTTACTTCAAATACCTTTAGGAATGTTGTCCGCTTCCGAAAACATCTTCAGGACGTTGAAATCATGGACATCGCTCGCTCAACAAAAGGCGGTCATTTTGACTTGAAATTGTGTGATTTCGCAATGTCGTCATGTACGCCACATTGAAGCATCCCACGTGAAACTAGTCATGTGTTTAGATAATTATCTCTAGTTTCATGTCCCCAAATTTCAGGGGAAACAAAAATAATCCGATTTTTTGATCATTTTTTTAGTTATCGATCCTGAAGCATTAAAATTTATAGAGCGTGACAGGTAAGAGTTAAAATAAATTTAACAATGCTCATAGTTTCATCGCGACCCATCGCAAAGACCTGCAAGTTTACCGAAGGACTGGAAGGAGAGTGGTAATTCAGATTGGAAATCTCACATATATTCTTCATCGCGACCGATCGCAAAGCCCTGCAAGTTTACCGAAGGAGAGTAGTAATTTAGATCGCAAATCTGACAGACATTTTTTTGACGGCGAATTTACCGAAGGAAGAAAATATATATGATACATGGCAAACGAATATTTCTCATTGCGGCCTGTCAATAACACTGGAAAACAATGAAGCCAACACTAGTACTCCACGAAATCGCATTGGTAGTAACACGACCTAAACCACAACAGCGACATAGAAAAGAAGGTACACAAACGAAGCCATGCCATGGAAGGCGTTTTTATTTGTTTTCCACAGTGAAAAATTTGAAGCTAGAAATGTGAAATTCGAAGCGAGTGAGGCACTTTGACACAACATTGTCACTATCAATACAATATTAACGCGAACCACATTCTGTTATCCCTGTGTGTTATCTTCTTGTTGAAGAAATTAAAACTGCAAAACTGAATGTTTGGATTTGTTTCTACGCGGACAGCCATTCAAAAGTTGATGGCATTAGTAGATCGGCCCAAGCATCCAGCGTGATGAAGTCACATGAAAACCGGACTTTGAATGTTATAGAAGGTTATGGATAAATAATCAGGTCTGTGATATATTATTAAACCCTCGACATGGGACCCAAAAAGATATCTGAATCGAGAAGACTACATAAATTATCTTTCTCGCAGTAGCAAAGACGCTTGTGATATCAAGTGCAATCATGTTAGCGGACATTTAACCAAATCGGGAAGGAACGTGTAGATCGGACTCGATTGAGCGGCGGAAATCGAGCGTACAGCAAAGAGTAGAAAAACAAACCCAGAAAAAAAAAGTTACCCTCGTCCCTCGACCCTCGACCCTCGACATGGGACCCTCGACCCTCGACCCTCGACCGTCAACAAAAAGATAGACTCTGAAAAATAAGATCGTGTTTACTTTGCAAGTTTGTTTCGCCAGAAGCGACGGTCATTACTTTATTTGCAATTTTGCGAGTATTTCTTGTGGTTTTAGGCAAATGAAAGAAATTCTTTGGCTGTTTCATCGCAGCGAGTTCGGTGATCAGAAGCAAAATTGAATATTTGCAAGCCAAGCAAAGAACATGTCAGAACCTGCAAGGATTAGGTCATTGGTTGGGAAATAACCACCGTACTGTGTCACTCCAGTGACCACAGATTGAAAGCGTGAGAGAAAATTAGCGTTACTTTCGATTCTTACCAAATTTGGACAGTGGGATGATTTCATCATTAGCCAATTACAGGCTATTTTTCAGCTCTTTTCGTCATATCCCCCCCTTGGAAGAAGTTTTGTCAAGTTAGCTAATTTAGTGAGCAAGCCACCGTAATGGCGGTCGCCGTCGGCGAAATGTTTATTTGCTCAAAATTGGGGCAAAATCTTTCGGAGTTGGATTTCAGGACATTTGTAAGGATACAGAAAGTAATTTGGGACCAGTTGCTGGCTTCTAAGGCTGAATTTATCCAAAGTAAGCTGTTTTTGTTTTTGTTTTCGTGCCGAAAGCCACGAGGTGAAATATTATCGGCTTGTTATGCTGTCCTGTTCTGTTTTCTCTGGTGGTCTTTTCTGTAACCCGCCGAGGCCATTCTTTCGTCTAAATCAGTTGAAAAAAGTTCGAAAAAGATGTTCCCATTCAAGTTTAAGTTCTCAGGCGATAATTCTGGAGCTTTTTGGCCGAAACGTTGAGCGTTTTCCATTTACCAAAAAAATCCGGAAATTCCGGTTGGGATGTAAATGGAACACGATTTTTTGGTTCGTTCCACTGGACATTTTCCCGAATAAACGGAATTCCTGAAAAGGTAGTCCTATTTTTCCGGTGGAAACTACCCAATGGAAAATTTGTGTTTCATTTACAGATTTCTCGTCTTTATCACCAGTTCCATGCCTTTCGCGGTCTTTTAAGCGGCCAGGCCTCCCTCGGCTTCCTCGTGTTTCAACAAAAATGGCGGCTATTCAGGGTCAGAAAACTTCCGAGTTTGAAATAAACCACACAAACGCCAATACTTTTTTCTGGAGCGGAATTGGTGGTCTTCCAAATGAATGCCGTTGCGGCACTCTTCCTGTAGCTTGGACCACTCAACACGGACCTTCCATTGTGCGTCTTGTCATTCGAAAATGACTTTTAAACTCATCGAGTGAATATCCTGGCAACGCGTGTTCAAAATAGCCTTCAGTTCGTTGCAAATTCCGTCTCATGAACGTCGAGGCCGCTGAAAAGATATCTACTGCATCATCTTCTGAATTAATCAAACTTTCTTCCTCTATAGAGACTTCTAACACTTCGCAGAAAAACATCTGATGGGCCTCATTAGCCTCCATTTTGAATATTCGTGGGAGATTCAGAGAAGCGACAGAGAAGGGCCTGTGAACGAATGGGACCTGTGACAAATGGAACGCGCTTTTCCCAAACGGAAATTCCCAGCAGAAATTTTCCGAAATTTTTTGTAAAAGGAAAACGCCCGGTGGCTTTGTTATGTTCGTGTTTTTCGGTTGCTATGGGCGACCGTGGCTTCCTTTGTTAGGTCAAGTCTAGGAGTGAGGTCACAAAAAAAAAATTCTAATTAATTCTGGTTTTGTTCGACTTCCCTGAAATTTTAACACGATAAAGCTGGATTGTTAAGTATGGAGGCCCATTCTGGTCAAACTTGTAGTAATAAAATTGCCCCACAAGTCAGTTTTTTCAGTCACTGTTTTACTTTTTATGAGCTTGCTGTGTATTTTCATCGGCGGTACAAATTTCTTTT